CACGACAGCAAGGCAGAACCAAGTCTAAGTCTAAATAAAAATGAGGTCTTTCTGGAAGTCAGTTCTGTGCTCTTTAGATTAGGATAAACCATTGGGATTCTCAGTGAGAACCAGCAGTTATTGGCAAGCACGGGCTAAAGAACTAACATCAGCTTTTGAGGTTGAGGCATATCAAACACAGTCGCCTTATTTATTAGGTCGTTGGAACTTTCCCAGGTTCCTGATTACATATCATTCTGGACTAGGTGTTAGAAGTGTTTTATCTTTTTTTTTTTTTTAAAATATTTATTTGTACATACAAGAGATGGGGTACAGGCCAGAGGAGTGGGGAGGGGGCGGTGAGAGGATTCACCAGAGACAGCGGGGAACAGAACAGGCAGACTGACTGAGATACACTGGCTGAGGGGAGCAGCGGGCGAGACAGGAGAGGTCTGCTGCGCCATGTGGGTAGCTCCCTGCCCAGGGATTGAACTCAAGCTGCAGAGGCTGCGGACAGCTTCATAGGCTGTGTCTTAACCCCTTGAGCCACCAGGGAGGCCCAAGTTATATCTTTTTACAGCCTCCTTCCCCAGGCAACTTTAAGTGCAAGCTGGCTCTGTACCCAGATCTTGTTACTGGTCTGACTGCAGTCATCTTCCACTTTAAACACCACAGTTAAACTGCACAAAGAACAGCTCTGAATTCCCTTCCCCCCTCACGTCTCCCTGTTTTTTTTCCATCCAAACTCCAATAATATATAAAGTATGTTGCTTACAGCAGGCAGAAATATCTATTTTAATTATTGGTAATATATCATTATTCATATTTAGTTGGGAAAAAGTTCATTCATTTCACAAGGATACTGCCTTTGCATTAAAAAATGATTTCAGGGCCTCCCCGGTGGTGCAGCGGTTGAGCGCTGGGTTGCAAAGCTGCCCGCAGCCTCTGCAGCGCCAGTTCTATCCCCGGCCACAGGGCGAGGGTCCCGCATGGTGCGCAGACCTCTCCTGCCGCCCGCTGCTCCCCTCAGCAGTGTACCTCGGTCCTTCTGCCTGCTCTGCTCCCCGCTCTGGCTCTGGTGAATTCTCTCACTCTCCCGCGCTTCTGACTGTACCCAGTGCTTGTATAAATAAATAAACAAATAAATCTTTAAAAAAAAAATGATTTCAATGATGAAGCTGAATGGGGGTTCAAATTTCTTTCTAAATTTTCTCTTCTGAGATTCCTGTTTTCTTTTCAGTGACTAAGGACATGAAATAAAAGTAAATAAATAAAAGTTGGACTGGAGGAGGAATTGGTGAAAAGATGAAATGAGACAAGCCCATAGTTGAAATTAATGAAAGTTCATCCACTCTGGAATGAGTTAGATGCTTTCTTTTGCTGCTGGCTCACCTTAACCAGAGAAACAGGCTGTAGTGAGGAAGCTAGACCTTTTGTTTAATCTGACAGTATCCCACAGTCACTGAGCAATCTGTTCTGATGAAGTCTGATTCCATCCTTTATTTTTAAAAAGGAATTTGATATTCATATATCTACACATCTAAATTATATTTAACATCCTTATCCATTTCCCTAACCTGGGTAAAAGATTGCTTTCAACTTTTTGCTGTAAACAATCTCGTAAAGAACATCTTCGTGTATAATCTTTGGATTGTTTCTTTACAACAGATATTGTAATTACAAGGTCCAAGGGCAGACAAATTTGTAGGATTGTACTTCACAGAAGGGCTATTCAAATCTCTACTCCCACCAGACATTGAGAAACATGCCTTTAAATCAGAGTTTCTTTGATTATGTGAACATTATTCATGTTAATTAGTCATTTAAATTTCTTTGTTGATTTTTATATTCATACCCTTTGTATATGGATGTCTTAGGATTTTAATTACTATTTATTGGGCCTTTTAAACACCAAGAATAACCATGTGTTGTAGTTTTTGCTGCAGATATCTCACTCAACTTATCACTTTGTTTAGTTGTTTTTTAATTTTATGTCTATCTTAATTCTTTAAAAATTTTATCCTGAAATACACTTATAATTCCGACCATCATTTTTAATTTCAGAAAGCCTTTCTTTTTTGTGATCAAAAAGATATTACTCTATTTTCTTCTACTGCTTTATGGCTTGCATTTTAACATGCTTGAGCATGGTGGTTAAGAACACAGAAGACTTATATTTGATTATGGGCTCCTGTAGTTGGTAGCTGACTGGTCCCCATTAACCTCTTTCAAACCCCGCTTCCACATCTGTAAAATGGGGATAATTACAGCATATCATAAGGAGTGTTGTAAGCATTAAATGAGATAATTTTTGTATTTTTAATAGGGCCTCATACATACTAATATTCAAGAAATTGTTATTATTGATATATAGCACAAGACTTCAGTGTCCTTTTTTTCCCCTACAACTATTTATTGATGGATCTTTCTCTGACCCATTATGCTCAGAGTGATTTCAGCCTCTCTTTCACACTTCTATATTGTAATATGTGTTTCTGGCTTTCCCAATGATTTTTCAATGCATTTGTATTTGTGTATGCCATTTTTTTAAATATCACAGCTTTAGAATATTTATTTATTTATTTATCTATTTATTTATTTATTTATATTTAAGAACTAGGGTACAGGCCAGATGCACAGGAGGGTGAGAGGACCCACCAGAGACAGAGCAGGGAACAGAACAGGCAGACTGACAAAATACACTGCTGAGGGGAGCAGCGGACACGACAGGAGAGGTCTGCTGCACCATGTGGGACCCTTGTGGCCGGCTGGGATCAAACCAGTGCTGCAGAGGCTGCGGACAGCCTCATTGTGCAGTGCTCAACTGCCTGTGCCACCAGGGGAGGCCCAGCTTTAGAATGTTTAACAATGTCATGTAGAAAAAGTGTGCATCTAAGACACACTTTTTTAAATTGTTGTGATTATATCTCTTCCCCACATGGATTTTAGAGTTATATTTTAATAAAAACATTAATTGGATATCTTAGTGAGAAAATTGTTACGTCACTGAAAATGCATCTTGATAAATGCAGAAAAAATGGACACATTAGTAATGTCCTAGATATAATTTAAAGACTTCAGTTTTTAGACAACAGTACAAGGAGGAACGATGTTCTTGGGATGTTCAGAGCGGGCAGTTCACTGGTGAATACAATCCAGATTATAGATGCTTAGTTCTAAAGGCGATCACAATTAGCATCCTCTGTTATTTAATGAAGTGGAAATGATATGGTGGCTACCTATGGTGTGCAAATATTTCACGCCCTTAAAATCTGATAGGATGCAAAAAACCCTATGTAGACCTCAGGATTTCCTAAGAATGGCTGACAGATGGTGAAGCTGATTCTGATCCTTGTGTTTACCTTACAGTGACAGCAGCTTGGCCAACAGCATCACTGCACTTTAAATACTAGTGGAATTGTTTTCTGTGCTTTACTTCTGGGAATAAATTTCTTTTTAATAACACTACTAGACATTTTGTTTATTGTTTCACAGTTGTTATAGCCATAAATTTATAACAAGGATACCATTATAATTTTTAAGTACTAATGTTTAAGCATAACAGTTTTGGTCCTAAAAGTTAATTGTAAATGATAAATACCAAAATAGCTGCAAACACTAAATGTTCTTTAAGAAAGGGCAACTCTGGGCCTCCCTGGTGGTGCAGTGGGTTGAATGCTGTACCTTGAAGCTGTCCGCAGCCTCTGCAGCACAGGTTCGATTCCCAGCCAGCCAGGGAGAAACCCACATGGCACTAAAGACCTCTCCTGCCTGTCCCGCTGCTCTCCTCAGCAGTGTCTTCAGTCTGTCTGCCTGTTCTACTCCCTGCTCTGTCTTTGGTAAATTCTCTCACCCTCCTGCACCTCTGACTGTACCCCAGTTTTGTATTAATAAATAAATCTTTAAAAAAAAAGAAAGCAAGACTCAAGCATTCTGAAAGATTGTCAAGAGTATGAAACAGAAAGAAATGGAAACCTTTTCTAAATTGTAGGAAAGTCAATTGAAAAAGCACATTGAATAGCATGTGCAAAAGATTATAGTCAATGCAAAAGAGACTAAAGGAAGAATGTATCAGAAAGTTCCTAACTTCATTCTTTATAATTCGTGCATGGAAATTAGAAGGTGAAGAAAATAAAATCTAGAAGTTTATGGAGTTAAGGACTTCTTTTTTAATAATTAAAAACAATTTTTCTTACATGATTGTAGTCCCCATAGTTATCCTGCCCCCCAAATCACCCATGAACAATCATCATATTCACTGGTGTTAATCCCTGTTCTGGTTTGCCCCACGCCTGCCCCTCCTTGGCTATATGCCTCAGCTCTATGGTCAGCTGCTAGTTTTGACTTTTTCTTGACCTTTTGCCTGGTTTCTCTATATTCCACATATAAGTGAGTCCATCTGGTATTTATTTTTTTCCCAGAAGGGACTTTTCTTTAAAAAAGTCTTGACATCCATGTTTGAGGAATTTTCTGGAAAGACTAGAGACATTTGATGGATCTTTCAGAATTGAATCAAGGTGTGCCTTGATTATTTCTTTTAAAATCACGAAACATTCCAGGCATTCAAAAAAGCACAGACAAGAGCCAAACAATGTTGCACACTTACCACTCAGCTCAGCTAATCCAGCCTTATAACTGTAGCTGAATGGTGTTTTCTTTAGTGCCATAATACATCTGCCATTGAAAGCACAGTGTCTGCATGTTCTAGAATCTCTTTCCAAAGTTCATTCCACCTAATATGTTCATTCTCCCTTTGTTGCCATCGGGATGCCCAGTGTTTGTAACTGGCAAATGTTCTAGACACAAATCGTCTGAGCCAAAAATGGTGATCATTAGCCAGCGTGTAAGATAATTCTAAACAGAAGAGCAAGGCTGCTAATATTTTAGTCCACTTAAAACCAACTGGCCAAGGCACCAACTCTCAGAGCTCCTTGTCTTCGCTCTCCCCCTCCTTTTGTATGTGTGTGAGAAAAATGCTTTTCTAAACCAGACGAAAAAATAAAAGGAAAGAAACACGTTACCTGTCGACGCTGAGCGCACAGAGATTGAGGACAGTGATCCCCACTGAGGACTTCTGCAAAAAGGGGAACAATTTGCAGAGGAACATGCCGAAGTCGTTGTGTTCGAAAGGCCAGCGCCCGGCCAGCAGCTGAAAAAGGAGACGCAGTGGTGAGAGATGGGGAGCTTGCTTGGGTACCTGCACACGTCTAAGTATGCCTCTGAGCTTCTCAGCGTCATTAGTCACTGTGCCTTCAGGTTAGCATGGTAGCCATAGAGTACTGTCATTACCATCATCATCATCACATATGTATTATATATGTCATCATATAGATATAACAATTGCTTATATATATGCATATATATAAATATATATATTTTTTCAAAGCCTCAGCAATATTTTATCTGGAAAGATATGGAGAATGAGACAAGTAATGAGATGAACCTTTGATCACACAACAGGAGGCAGCAAATGTTTAGATTTTGAAGCGAGAAGTGGGCAGCCATTGCTTATCAGTGTTTACTAAGTCATGAATTAAGCAAGTCATTTTCAACTAGTGGCCTTGGAACATTGTATTATCTCCTGACAAACAGCCAGAATGCTGAAGGAGAGACCATGGAGAATACTGGGAAATGAAGTGACTTAGGACGCACTGACTTGAGCTACTCTGAATGTACCTTTTCCTCTGAATTTACTTACTGACTCTGCTTCAATAGTTGCAATACAAGTGGCTTATGTGTATTTAGGGTCCAACTTCCCTTTATCGTACTGAAAAATGTGGTTACCGTTTGTAGTATTTGCAGGCAAATCTATTATTTCATGCTGCCAGTGTAGAGCACCCTCTAGCGGCTGTGGTAAGTTGCACACAGCTCCCCAGTGACTGCTGACATGTGGCTCAGTAGGTCTTGTGCTGGAGCTCCTTCTTAAATGTTTAAAGCTCAGCTACCTAAAAGGGGGAAGGCGGTCCCTCCTGAATTTATGGTGCCTTTCCAAGAGTAAAACACAGTATTGATTTCCTTCCTAGTTTTTGCTTAGTGACTCAGAATTTAAACTTGCTCTACTTAATAGGAAACACTATCCTACTCATTTGACAAACTTGTCTTTTGCTCTTTGCAAAGTACCCATTGCCATAGTAATTCTAAGCTGAGCTTCAACGTCTACCATTTTAAAAAGACTATGTGAGGTTTAGTTTTATGGTCAGTGTGGTCATTAGCATGAGTTATTGACGGAGGGTGGGGACTGTAGCTCATAGACACAAAATCAGAACCTAAGCATTCTGAGAATTTAGTAATAACCACACTCTTCTATAATTCTATTTTTTATGGCTTAGATTTCAGAAATTCCTTCTTCTTAGTCTTGTAGCAAGCTTTCATTTGTTTTGAAGTGTTTTCTAAAAAGAACTTTTCCTTTGATCCAATTCTGTCTCTGGCCTCCCTTTCAGTCCCACCAATGCTGGTTGGTGTTTTCTCAGAATTTCCAAATAATCTTTGTCCAAGGGTAACTGGTGGGCTCAGTACCCGAGAGCCGCCTTAAATACTGACCTTTCTCATGGAGCTAACAAATAATTACACCCTTGCCGACTGCTGGTTATTAATGTTTGATGCAAGCAAAGGCATAAAACACAATTTCTGGGATGAATCACCACCTATAAAGAAAGGAAAACCGTAAAACTGCTTTTCATAGATTGAGAGTTTAGTACTTTGGTCCAGCATTGTATTTCTCCACAAAGACTACAGAGATGTAATTAAAACATGTAGGAATTGTTTGTGGTGCACTTTGAATTGAGTAGCTGAACTGTTATGGTTGGTTCATTCCCCAAACAGGATCCTAAAATTCACATTGGGATGAATTTCCCAATGCACAATCAAACGAGAGAAAAGGATGTTTCTTGCTTTACAAAGAAAACTGATGTCTCATGATAAGTGCTGAGAAAAATAATCTAGAAAACTCAACAACTGAGCATGTGTTAATTCAGACCCATCCAACTGCAATTGGATATTTTTTCCTTTTCCAAGCTTCCTTAAACTTTCAACTTCCTTGAACTTAAAGTAGGTTAGGTATAAAGGAAGGGCAGAAGGCAAAGAGATCATGGAATTGGTGGTCAGTAAGCAAGATCACAGAATTGTCTTTGACACAATTAGGTTTTTGTTTTTGTTCAGTGTTCCCCTACTGATTCTTCCTGGGAATTATAGACAAAGGGGAAAGATATCATGGAAGGAAAAATTTTCAGTACAATCATACTTTAGACTTTTTAACCTGTGCCTGCTTCATTCTGAAAGGGTGTGTAGATAGTCATTTCTAAAAGATTGCATGAGGTTTAATTTCATGGTTAGTTGGTGGTGATTAACATGAGTCCATGGAATGAGAGTGGGAAACTTTCCCCCTCTCTGGAAAAGAGTCAGCTTTCTCCCTCTCTGGATAAACATTCCTTTTCCAAGAGCCATCATTAATTCCCAATCTCAAGTGGGACCTGCATGTTAGTGCCTTTCATGGAACCAGTGTTGGAGTCATCTGGCATGCAGAGTCTCCTTTCTATTCTGTTTTAGCAATAAAACACATAAAAGAACAAAAATATTGAAAAGGCATAGAGAGAAGTTCATCTCTTATTTAGAAAAGACATTTTGAGGCTCCTAAAAGACTGTTGGAAGTCATCTTTTCTGTTATTTACTAACAGTTAAAATTAAAAATACAATATATAAATGTTAAAAATTAAGCTGTACAAAAACACAATACAAGTGAGTTTCCCTTCCAATCAAGGTCCCTAAACTGCTTGCCCAAAGGCAACCACTGTTAATTGTGTTTTTTTTTTTTCCAGCAAACTTCCTATGTACATTAAAGCATGTGTTCTTTTAAAAAAGACAAGTGGGAACATATGGAGATAATAAAGGCTATTTGATCTTTTTTTAGTATTAGTAATGGTATTACAGACCATTATGATCTTTTTTCTAGAATTCTTTTCTGGGAAGTATTTCTACTGACTAATTAAAAGGTTTTGATTTTAGAGGCATGTTAATGAACCAGTTTAGACTGGGTTAGGAAAAGATAAGTTAGTATTTAGACTAAACCTAAGACCATGGCAGAAGAACTACTTGACCTTGTGAATGTTAACACGCTCTTCTCAATTCAGTGAAAGAAAAACCAAACTAGGCTGACAGACTGATAAGTCGAATTAGTCCAAAGGCTTAATCTGGCAGCTTGGAGCAGTCATAGCTTATTTTTGTGAGTATTTATAGTTTCTAAAGACTTCTCACAGTACCTGATGCATTTTGGGTGTAGAATAAATGAATGTTTCCAACACGTTAGGACAATATATTTTGAAGTTAGTCCCAATTATGCCCTGAAAACACGTTCATCTCATAATTTACTTTCTATTTAAAAGTTGTTTATCTATATTCCAAAGTCCACTTGACCCTTGAACAACACGGATTAGGCATGCACAGGTCTGCCGACACCATTTTTTCCCTGCCTCTGAGTCTGCATTCATGAGCTCAACCAACCTTGACTCTTGGATGAAGAACTAACAAGAAGAGACTTGAGCATTGTGGATTCTGGTGTGGGGGCATGGGTTCTGAAGCCAATCCCTGCAGAGACCAAGGAATGACTATAGGGAAACTTGGGGGGAGACAAAATTACGCTTGGATTTTCACAACTGTAGCATTTCCTCTCTGTGTTGAAAGAGACTGTGCACCTGCCAGCTAGCTTTTTTTTTGAATATTTTATTTTATATAATTCTTACATCATTTTTCATTTTTGCACAGTGTATGCATTTTCGTTTTGGTTCTATTCCTCATACAATTCCCACCCCCCTGATTTTGGCCCTGACCCCTCCTCTTCTCCCTCCCCCGCCCCCATGTAGTGTGTCTCTGGTTTATAGTTGTTGTTGATTTTGATTTTTCTTTATTATAATTAGTCTTCTTCCTCTGCCAGCTAGTTGTGAGGAGTGGAGGTGCAGAGTCCAGGTGGAAGAGGGACTGCCACAAGCCCCTTCCTGGAGACCTCTCACTTTGGGCTGTGATGAGACAGCCCCCGAGCAGCACTCAGAGGGGATGCCCATCCTCTGATCTGAGTGGGCACCAAGTTCTCACCTCCTCCGGTGGACCACAGAGAATCTCCCATAGAGCAACAACCCAGGCAGGGAAGGGGCACTTGCACGTGCCGTTTTAATGGAGGACATTCACCTTAGTCCAGCCTAGGGGGCTTTGGGACATCCTGCTTTGGGATTTAGTCATTCTAAAAAATGGGTGCTTATCAGTGTTTCGTGTGGTATAAATCCTTAGGCAAACCTGGCTTATACAGGCTTAAAAATGCATTCTACTTTATCGTGTTGATTTAACACCATCCAAAGCAGCCACACATACACAGTCTTGTATTGCTTAACGATGGACCTCATAAGTGATGCTGGTCTCCACAGGCTAGACCACATGGCACGAGTGTGTAGACTACACCATGTAGGTTTGTGTACTGACACTCTATGGTCAATAACAGCGTTGCTTAAAGGCGCTTCTCAGAGTACCTGTTATTAAGTAACACCTTCTACATTCATTCGTGCCATGCAGTGGTGCTTTTGTTTTCAGGTGGTGCTCAGGGACTTTATATTTCAGGTACTTTTCTCTTGGGCAAATAGCCTGATTCATCATGGGAGGTTGAGTTATTTTTACTTTACACTGAATGCTCTCTGGTTGTTTAGCTTTGATTGTTCTTTAGTCCATTCTACATCCAAAGTTCATCAGTAGGAGCCCCACAGAGAGGGACTTCTCAGTGTGTCTGTACACTGGAAAGATTTAGGAAGCATTAAAAGCTCCCAGTGCCTGGGCTGTATGTCCTTGAACTATGTGCTGATTTCAGGGTAATTTTACTGCTCTCTTCACACCCATACCCCTGGCCCAGGGGGCATCTGGCAACGTCAGGAGGCATTTTTGGTTATTACAACTAACTAGTAGGGAGGATACTAGAGGTAGAGGCCAGGGATGCTGCTAACCTTCCCACAACGCACAGGGCAGGCACGCAGTGAGGAGTCAGCCGGCCCCATGGCAGTGGTGTTGAGGCTGAAAACCCTGTCCTAGCTCAATGAAACCTGAATCTTCGGGGGGGGGGGGGGGTGAAACCCAAGCCTCAGTAGTTTCTAAAGCTCCTGGGTGATTCCAATGTGC